ACTCTATGGTACAGCGTGCCGGTGTCCGAGTACGTGTGTTAGAGTGGCCCGGATGCGGGTACTGGAAGGATTGAAGAAAGCTCGGTCCCGAGAGACACCTCGACGAGCGTTCCCGCGGCGCCTCAAGACTCGAACCCTGACACGTTCGTGGCGCTCTCGCCCGGATCTACCGACTCGACTGAAGGCTGGCTTAACGCGTGTAGATGGCTCCAATCTATGGCGCCTCCTGAGGTGGCGGCGAGCCTCCCTGGTGCTTTGCAGCAGCCCTCGCAGCCTTGGAACACTGGAAACACGGGAAGTGTACCCCCGAACGGCGGGCAAGTGACCCCTTCCCCTGCGAGAGTCCGGATGGCGATACCGTCCTATCAAGGGTACACTATCCAGAGTCCGATGACAGTGGGACTAGGAGCTGATCCCTTCCTCACGTCGGACGCGACGCAGAGAAGCACTCCCGTGACCGTCGCCCCAGGTTCGTGGGTGAGTGGGCACGGAGCTGCTAGCTGGAACGCCCAGGCTCCTAGCAGAGGAGTAGGCGTGGGGTTTCCCCCGGTGGTAACTCAAGCGTCCCAAGTGTCTCCAGGAGTTCCTGCGCAAGGGGTGCCTGCCGTCTCTTTCGCGACTGTTCAGCCTAACCAAGGTCCAGGGCCGGTAAACACTCCCCCGACGACGAGTGGATTCGGTCCAGCTGTTCAACCCTCTGCTGCTGGAATTGGTCCGGCTGGAGGATATGGGACCGCTGTGCCTGGTTACTCGTCGGCGAACCTTGGAGGAGCTCCATGGGGCGGCCCTAACGGAAGTTATGGTAGTAACTACGCCTCTGGGTACAGTCATCCCGCGTCGTCGACGGCTGTGGTGCCTTTTGGGATGCCCACTAACATCCGGAACGCTATCCGCATGATTCAGCCGTTCTACTCTGATGGAGCGTCGGTCGAGAAGGCGAAGACGTTCTGGGACTCTTTTGAGCGTGCTACAGTGGGACTGGAGGAATCCATTCGTCTGAGTGCTTTCCGCGAGTGCCTGATGGGCAAGACTGGTGAGGATTGGTGGACGTACTCTCGTATAAACTCTTTTGACACTCTCCGAATCCGGTTCCATAACCAGTTTATCTGCCAGACTCCGTTGCAGCTGATCGAGAAGCTCCAGAACACTAAGCGTCCGCGAGGAATGTCCGCCGAAGTGTGGGGCGACATGATCTCTGGCTTGTGTGACGACGCTCAGTGTTACGACGAGCAAATACGCTACCAGTACTTCCTAACGGGACTACGAAACAAGCAGTGGAGAGCCGCTCTCGACGGGAGTATGATTGACTCTATCCGTGGTGCTGTAACGCAGTTACTGTTCAAGAACATGCATCTCCCTTCTGACCACGACGATGAGTTCGAGAACACTTCGACGATTCACACCGAGAGCTCTGCTTTGGAACGGATGATGAACATGATGCAACAGACCCAGAATTTGCTAGTGCAACAACAGCAACAGCAGCAACAGTTGCTGGAACGTCCTCTGGCTGCTGCTTACCCGGCTCCTGCCATGAATGTGGCTGCTGCTTACCCGGCTCCTGCCATGAATGTGGCTGCTGCTTACTCTCCTGCTGCTCAGAGTGTTCCGATACCTCAGGCTCAACCGGCCGCGACCACCCCTACTACCCCGTTCCGTGGCGTTCGTCATGGCCCGGACTTGTACACTCAAGACGGTCAGATTGTGTGTGGTAGGTGTCACGTTCTTGGATGTAACCGGCTCAACTGTCGCCGAGGTAGGGCGACTTGCACCAACTGTAATACTGCGGGTCATATCAGCGTCGAGTGTGAACATCCTCCTACGAACGGTTATCGGAACAACCCGCCGAGGAACGGTCGTAAGTGTTTCTTGTGTGACGAACCTGATCACTTGCTTTCGGACTGTCCTTTGAAGGCGTCTTTGAAGACTCATGGAACGGCTGCTCCTCAAGCGTCTACACCAGTCCAAGGACAAGCGCCCCGACAGCAGTGAATGGGGCGAGAGGGAGGGGAAGGGAGTGTCGCTCCTTCCTCTTGTCAATGAAACGACACAAGTAGGAACACTTTGAACTCCTTGGAGGAGTCGACCGTGAGGTATGAAGTGTGTCCTATGCTGGGTGGAGTGAAATCCACCGTGTTGGATAAGTGTGAATCGCCTGAAGAAAGAGAGTGTGTAACTGGAAAGTGGAGCAAGGAATACCTATGACCTTTGGAGCCCTCGAGCCCGTACGAGACGGTGTGTCGATGGTCCCCGGAGCAAGCCAAGAGTGGAGTGTGGAACGAGAGAG